CAGACTAATTACAATAACAGTACTTCTACTAACCACAGGAAAGTAACCTTCTATGCAATAGGGAACACCTCAAGACTTATAGAACGTGACTTTCTCCAAGCATAAATTTTTTTAGTTTTTTAACCATGAAAGTGGCAAACCTTAAATGCACTAAGTGGCTTTCTCTTGTAGCCTTATCATTCCCACCAGCTCAATCTAAAACCTGTAATCAATACATCTGGGCAACCCAATCACAGGACAGAGCAGCTACAGTATCTTTCGATGCTGCAACAACAAATGAGAATGCTTGCCTTGGCAGCAATTTCCCATGGAGTTCACATCATATTTACAACCCTCATGTCAGCAACAGGCACGCATCTCGGACAAAATGATGTTAGGCGAGTACTAGGTGATTACAAGCCCTCCATATTGCAGTAGCCCTCTGCCTTGCTGCCCAAATCCACACCTAATATAGGTGCATGTCCAGTAAGGCAGAGGATCACAGTTACTGTCAGCATGGCCTGCTCTGCCAAAGCACAGGAGACTGGCACTTGAGGCACAGTGAAATTAATGACATTCTTAAGAGGAGCCTTACCACAGCTGGGTGTCATGCAGAGAGCACTTCATTTTCTAATGTCCAGCAACTCTTAATCCTGCTGGTCATCCAGATAAAATTACAGGCACTCCTGGAAGAATGGCAAGAAGTTGGAGTGAAACTACATATGCATATCAATAGTGGACAACAACTCCAGTGACTTCAGGTGGTGCTGCCTCCCACAGAGAATTGATCCAAGTCTTAATGTACAGAGAACAGAATCAGTAAAATGTTGTCCCTGTTGCTTCAGAGATCCTTAGTTCCTAGGGTAAAATTGCCACGGGTTTCTCAAGTATAGTATCTGGATTCTAGGCTTCATGAAACGTGAGAGCCAAAAGCTGCCAACTCCCTAGTTCCAACGCTCAGTATGACAATGCATTCTTGGTTTCTGCCCACATCAGTCGAGTGTGGAATTCTACCACCTGTGACAGTTAATTTTGTTCCAAATTCTGAATTTTATCAGAAATAAAATACAGCTTGTATAAAACAAGGGGAAGAAAAGGACTATGTGAACACACATGGGAGCCCAGCATAGCTCCCCCAGGTGCTGAATTTCCTCTTCTCTGAGGTAAAGAGTCCCTGCAACTTCAGTGGTGATACCCCTTTTGATGTGAATATCCTAAAACCCCTCAAATTTCAAACAAACAATACGGTAAAAAAATTTCTTCAGTTGGGTATAAACGGCTAAGAGAGTTACATCTTACCTCCATGTAGTCTAGGCATTACAACTGAGACATAAGCACTCAAGTGATAAAATAGGAAACTAGCAGCCCTCATATTACCTAGATGTAGTTACAGGATGAGAGCAACACTCGTGGTGTCCCGCCTTCCCAGCACTGTCATATAATGCTTTGACACTACTAACAGTTTTGGCCTCTACCACTTTCTCACTTAACTTGCTCCAACTGTCTACCTCTCTGTTTGCAAAAATAAATTTTCTTATATGTCTTTGGCAGCTTCGTTTAGTTTGCTTAAATCTATGACCTCTAGTTCTTGAATTGCCAGGTCTCAGGAATTCCTCCCCTATCAATTTTGTTGATTTCGATTTCTACATTGTATGCAGATGATATATATCGCATCTCTTTACACCTTGTGTGCACGTACCCATGAAAATAGTACAAAAATTTTCTTTATCGAATAGAGTTGTTGACGGTAGTAATTGAGAGACCATGGTGGATGCCACAATAAGCGGATGACTCAAAACATATGATAAATATCAGAGGGAAGATGGGACACCAAGAGCATTACTGTTATCTTGTAATATAGTAATTAAATACACATACACACATCTCATTTGCACTGTCTCTGGTCTTAAAATGGTGATTGTAAAAAAAAAAAAAGGGGGGGGGGTGAGAGCTTTATCTTATTCACCAAGAGAGTAAAACCAAATTAAACTAAATTTGCATAATAAAATGACTGACTCTGCATTACAGATAAATTCAACTCATATAAACAGATTTTGTAACTGTTTAAATGTAACTGTAACTGTGTACTATTTAAAGTGCAGTAATTAAGTGAAGCAAAATTTGACAGTTCCACTGTCTGAAATCATAGCATAGTTACTGGTCTTTTTTTTTCTTAATGTGCATGGTATGTTTTTGCACTACCTTGAAAAGTGAAGCAATCTTTAATTACAAACTCTGCTTATAATCACCAACACACTAAAATAGTGTCCAAAGCTAATTAGTCAAATGATTGTTTACAATGTAATCCTACATGAAAAAAAATCAATAAAACAAGGTAAGTAAAGAACCAATATAGAAATGAAATCTAAACATTTCAGTGTTACACAACAGACATCTCCTCCTCCTCCTCCTCCTCCACATGGGGTAATTGTGACCATGATACACCAGTTGTGTCATGGTTGCCATTATCAGGGGGAGCCGGTCGGCCGAGCGGACAGCACGCTGGACTTGTGATCCTGTGGTTCCGGGTTCGATCTCGGGCGCCGACAAGAAACAATGGGCAGAGTTTCTTTCACCCTATGCCTCTGTTACCTAGCAGTAAAATAGGTACCTGGGTGTTAGTCAGCTGTCACGGGCTGCTTCCTGGGGGTGGAGGCCTGGTCGAGGACCGGGCCGCGGGGACACTAAAAAGCCCCAAAATCATCTCAAGATAACCTCAAGATCATGCCCTTCCTAAATCTCCATGCAAGATCTCTCTCCCTTTAAAAGTACAAGGGCCAGATTCACGAAAACACTTATGAACGTGTACATCTTTCCTCAATCTTTGACGGCTTTGGTTACATGTATTAAACAGTTTACAAGCATGAAAACTTCCCATTCAACTGTTGTTATTGTTATAAACAGCCCCCTGGTGCTTCGGAGCTCATTAACTGTTTAATAATTGTAAAGTAAGCCGCCAAAGATTGAGAAAAGATGTACAGGTTCGTAAGTACTTGCGTAAGTGCTTTTGTGAATCTGGCCCCAGGAGGGCATACAAAATAAGAAAGTAGGAATGTCATCTTAATAATATATTGCAGATCTTGAAAAAATGGATACAGTACCTGTTTAGAAATCAACATCCGTGAGTCAACAGAAATTTACTGATTATGAACGATGAAGGATATGTATTATTTAAGAATTAGTAATACAAGTTATCAATCGTTTTAACTTTCTCTACATCCTTAACGAATAAATCACAAAGAAAATAGGTTTTCCAAAGGAAATTTCTAGTGTCATTTAAAGGATATTCAACATGTAGAAAAATACTACATGGGGACCCCGTCTTACAGTGTTAAACTCATTGTGGTCAACTTGTAATTAACTTTAAATCTGGATTTGTGAAATATTAGCCACAATAAAGTTATAGTTTCCATATGACATTGGTCTCATTATTACAAGCAGTTATTGTTGCTAGTCAAATTATAAAATGTCTACAGTAGAAAAAGGCACTTTAAAATATATAAACATTCATATTAAAGTAGTTTGAAAACAAACTTAATGCATGCATTGCATACAGAATATATAGTCATTACCAAACTTTTGTTATATAAAAGGCACTTAACATGGGGGGCATCTTTCAGTTGACAGTACTGAACAACATTCCATATTTTGTTTCAGTTTTTTTTGGAACTCGATTCAGGTTTTCCATGTATGCATTCATAGATACACACACATACAAACCCAGACGTATATATACACTATATGTATGCACACTCGGAATTATTATAATTATGATTATTTGACATCTCTGACATGAACAAATTATTCGGCAATGTGTGAAATCTTCTCTTGTAAGAGTTTGGATGTACATGTACAGTACAGTATGTAGTTATTATTCTGTAAAGTGGAACTAAACAATGAAGACCTTGTTACAAAATGCATATACAGTACTGTACTGTATACTGAGAGTGAGTGAGTACTCACCTAGTTGTGCGTGTGAGTGAGAGAGAGTGAGTGTGTATGTGTAATTCCCTACGTGTAGTTACAGGATGAGAGCTACGCTCGTGGTGTCCCATCTTCCCGGTACTCTTTGTCGTCTAATGCTTTGAAACTATCGACGGTTTTGGCCTCCACCACTACCTCACTTAACTTGTTCCAACTGTCTACCACTCTGTTTGCAAAAGAAAACTTGTTCTTGCGGGGATCGAGCTTTGGCTCTTTGGTCCCGCCTCTCAACTGTCAATCAACTGGTGTACAGATTCCTGACCCTACTGGGCTCTATCATATCTATATTTGAAAATGTGTATGGAGTCTGCACCCCTCTCTCTCTGTGCGTGTGTGTGTGCGTGCGTGTGCGTGTGTGTGTGTGTGTATGTGTGTGTGTGAAGTCTCAGGATCTTTAAGGACGCTGTAGTTTTTTTTTAACAATTATTAATGAAGCATTGAATTTTGCATGTTAGCAAATAAATCTATACATTTGATACAATATTTCCTCAGGAAGCTACATCCTGTCCTAAGAGACTCAGATAATATGACACGGCAACTTGCCTATATTGAACAGTATTAAGACATTGTAATCACTGAAGATTAATGTAAATGCTATAGCTCATGATATTTATTTTTGAACTTACAAGTCAAACTTCCAGTTCATTTTAAGTATATAAAAAAAAATTGACCTCACAATGTTCATGGTAAATAATTTGATCAATATGAGGACTTTGAAATTAGAACCACAAATTGGATTACTTGGCCTGCATATGGAGTAGATTATGCCATGTCATACAGCATGGCATTTGTTCATTATTCCTTTTGTTTTATTATTAGGATGCAACAAACTGTTAAATAGTAAGATCAGTCAGACCTAGTTTGGGGTGAACACCACCACAGTTTCTTTACAGAAAGTGTTAAAACACTCATAAAAGAACGCCTTCCATATTCAGAATAAATTATATTAAAACACTCCGAGTTCCAAAAGTAAACAATTCTAATTACACAAAATTCATAAAAGTTATTGTATTAGAAAATAAAAAATCAGAGAAGACAGTAATGTTGCCAGTATTGAGAAACACATTATTACCAGGCAGGCTTAACACACAACAATTACCTGAGAGGTGAGCAGAAAGTACTAGTCACAAAATATGAAGTTCAAACCTGCACAGTCAACAGGTGTGCCAGTCCTAAATCCACCCTTAAAACATTACCCATTTTGCTTGAGTTCAACTCTACATTACCAAAACAAGATTAAAAATGTCAATATTTTACACCTCTACAGTCTTAATGAACATTAAGAAATTTTACTGCTGAAGGGCAAGATGATGAAGCGCATGTAACTGATCCACGATCCAGCTCACATGTGAATACTATGAATGGACGCGGCAGTGTAGCGGGCTTCTCCCCTCTTCCATGACCATGTGCTCGGGCGATACTGTAACAACACAAGAGCGGACAATAACAATACGGTGTTTGATAAACAAATTACATATACATGCAAGTTATCAATTTTAAGCCTCATTTCATTAGGAGTTAAGTTCCCTTTAAAATGTAGCACTCATTAGAAGCAGGATGTGAATGAGTGTAAAATGAGGAAAATGATTAATGCCAATTGATCCAACCTTGTTGGGGTAGCTTGTGCTGCCACCTGGTGATGGTCAGTGTAAGCTGCTAACCAGTAATTACAAGAGATAAATGGTTTTCCTCTCAATTAATATGACCATTTACAGGGGATAGGCAAAAAGTTTCTGCTTTGTTGTCTTAACAGTAAAAGCTGACTCAATAGTGGATAGTTTCACTGTTTCTCTGCCATCGAGGGGGCCCTAGCTCAGAAATAAATGGTAGAGAAAAGTGCCCAAATATATTTACCAAGTTTTTTTTTAAATTTGATCTTCTATTATTTTATAGAAAAATAAACTCTGCAGCACATAAGGCTGGACTGTGTACTCAGATTTAAGTTAATATATACAGTAATAGGAAGTATATCTTTAGAAATAGCACTGGTGAAAGCACAAATGTGTTACATGATGAATTTGAAGTTAAATACGATCAAATGTACATGGAAGACAGGTCACCACAAACGTAGCATTCATTCTGTAACTATAGAATAATTACACAAACACACAGCTACGTAACTTGCAATGAGATGGTTCAACAAAGATGCACTTACCCGAATTAGAATCTGCCCCGAAGGGGAATGTGGGAAGAAGTAGGCGTACATGACCCAGCCTGTTATACCGAAAATGAGTGCTACAAGAAACACTACTCCAACCACTGTACCAACAGCTGAACCCGCCTCTTCTACATCTGAAAGAAGAATTTGATTTGATTTCCACCTTAAAATAAAAACCCAGCTAGTTCATCATACCATATTTAACCACTTATCAACTCATGGTAATTTTATTTGCAGTACAAAAAATAGAGGAATTTTTCTTACAAAAACTGTGAGTAAGCTACATAGGTATTATTCATACACTTTGAAAACCTTTATAGCTAAAGTATACACCTCTCATTAGCAACAGACCCAAAATACAGCCCCTGGTGGTGCAGTGGTAACATACTCCCTACACTTTGTGAGCGATTTGGCTTGGGTTCGTATCTTGGCCAGGAAGGACTGACCCTCCCACTGAGCACTCCTTAAATGTAACACTCTTCACTATTAACCCACCATTTTTCCTTCAATTTCTTAGCTGGATTATCTTGCTCGCAACTTTCCCCCTGCCACCACCCACCCTAGGAGCCGGTCGGCCGAGCGGACAGCACACTGGACTTGTGATCCTGTGGTCCTAGGTTCGATCCCGGGCACCGGCGAGAAACAATGAGCAGTTTCTTTCACCCTATGCCCCTGTTACCTAGCAGTAAAATAGGTACCTGGGTGTTAGTCAGTTGTCATGGGCTGCTTCCTGGGGGTGGAGGCCTGGTCAAGGACCGGGCCGCGGGGACACTTAAAAGCCCCGAAATCATCTCAAGATAACCCACCCTCTCTAGGTTACACCTGCACTTGAGTTACAACAGGGTTTCTCTTTCATTTCTATAGTCTCCCTTTCTGTAGTTTCATGCCCTTCTCAACCTATTTTTTAACCTGCTCCCCTTTCATGTTTGACTACTACATAGCTTCACTATGTTTCATCAAACACAAACACTGCAGTCCTTGATCACCTAGGAAGGTCACATCCAACATCGTGACAATGATTTTCACATCCATCATGATGATAATCTGAGGAGATAGTTTCCAGTAGTACCCTTTTAGTCTTCCTGGTACTTCCTATGGAGCCGGTCGGACAGCACACTGGACTTGTGATCCTGTGGTCCCGGGTTCGATCCCGGGCGCCGGCGAGAAACAATGGGCAGAGTTTCTTTCATCCTATGCCCCTGTTACCTAGCAGTAAAATAGGTACCTGGATGTTAGTCAGCTGTCACTGGCTGCTTCCTGGGGGTGGAGGCCTGGTCGAGGACCGGGCCGCGGGGACACTAAAAGCCCCGAAATCATCTCAAGATCACCTCAAGATTTCTTCTATTTGCAAGGGGCAACTAGTTCACTCTTTTCCTTATCAATTAATAGTAGAACGTATATTTTACTAATACCAAATACTAATGCCAAAACAATTACCTCTACACAATTTTAATTACAAAATATAAGCTTATGACAATACAAAATCTCAAACACATACTTGTAAAAAAAATGTAAAGAAATTGATCCAGGTTATATGAACTCGTTACTAAATTAGGAAAAAAATAAGCAATTTTCCTACAAACCTTTACTATATGACTCCACACTGGCATCATGGCCAAAGGTGTCTACAGTGGTGGGGCTCACATCAGTTTCGGTACATTCGCTAACAGTCTGGACATGGAGGGCCTCACACCCATTATGCAGCCAATCTTGCCTGTGCCGATCCAGCCCATTGCTGCATCGTCCAATTTCACTGCACCACTGGCACTATAAAGGCAACATCAATTACATTATTAAGAGATACATTAACACCCTGTGTAAAACCTATTCATTCAAAAATAATTATCTTTTATTTATGCATCCTTAACTTACAAAGCAAGCCAGTAGCAACTGCTTTATTTATTAATCGAGCTAAACTAGTCCAGAATTCTTCAGTATTCTGTCAAGTACAGTGTATACAACACCTGAAAATACAGATACAATATGGTAAATAGTTTAGTACTGCAGACACCAGAGCTCTGAACGAAATGAATTGTGACAAGATAATAACATTGACATTAAAGACAACAATGAGCATTGCAGAACAAAAATAACTTGTTTAGGAAACTTACTCAACCCAGTAAAGCATAGAGTACAGATGTCCTAAGCTGTACAAGATATTTTTGTTCTGTGGAGAAAGTATTTACTTTTAACAGAAAATGAGCACGATGTCCGATATTACCTGAAAACTGATCTTCTGAGATAAACATTTAGTACAGCTGTTGAGAGAGACACATGTTGGAAGAGCTTTGAACAAAATTGCTGTCCAGTTACCAATCCCAGAAGTTTTCTTGTCAATTTTGTGATACTCATAGATGGTTTTTCTTCGCACAACTGAAAACAGATGACACAATTAAGGCCTAATACAACATCAAACATAAGATTACTTACAAGCTAAAATTGTCAATCATGGGCTGCAGATACTGTAGCCTGGGGAGCCTCCCATTTATCTCACTCACCACAAGGGAGGCTAACCTCAACCCACTTATGATCCTTGGCTGTCTGCCACAATTCAAATAGTGTGTACTTAGATTAGATTTATTTATTTACTTATTTTGATGTGAATTTTAAGAAGAAGCTGTAAGACAGCATCATCAGGACATTACTGTGTTAATGCATGGGTTCAGTCGAGTGCATTTTTTTCAGCAATGTGTCAAAATGTATTTCTATATTAGACTTTAGAGTTTGTATATTAGGCTTCAGTGTACACATTATGATTTACTATTTAAATTAAGCTTTTCAGTGAGTATTTTAGACTACACAGTAATTATCCATATAAAACACACATTTAGATCCATGGTGGTTTTGTACGTATATTTAAATTTTCTCCTGTATGTAGTTAGTAAATATTCTAATTGTACATCATTCATATTTGCCTCCTTTATCAACCCTATAAATTGACCAAGTGAATCATTACAAGTCATTACAAATAATACAAAATGTTGTGCAGTTCCTGCAAAATACCGTATACAAAGCTCTCAACTTACAGAATATTGTACGATCCACAATGTAAGCATCAGAGAGTCCAACCTTAACTGGGTGCTGTTCATCACCAATTTTAGTTATTATCACTGGAACTTGTTTATATGCGAATACAATATCCCCGTTCTTGTGCAACGTTGCCTGTACCAAGTGAAAAAAATATATATAATAAATTCCAATAATCATAAAACACCTACATATTGCAACACAAGTTTATAGGGCAAGCAACTTGTGCAAAAATACAATATCGAGATATGATCAAAATATATAAAAAAAAAACACTTAACATAGAACAAATGTAATGACTAAATTCTTTATTATCCACCAACCTGAAACGTAAATGTGCCAGCATCAGCATGATCCTTCAGCAGTACGTTATTCCACTGTACAGTAAACGATGTACCTTGTTGGGGTAAAAAGATATTAACATTACTCTATGATACGCGTTCAACCCTTGTAATCAATCTAAGCCACCACCAGTAGTTTTGTAACAGCAATTTTTGCTAAATGAACAAAGCAAAATTCCTCCTCATTACAGTATTTATCTAATTAGTGTCTTAATTCATAAAATGCTTTTCCAATAACAGCGAGCTACTGGTGTTTTCTTTTTTTTTTCCCGCTATCCCTTTCTTTCTCCTGCTATCCCCCCATTCCTTCTCCTGCTATCCCCCCATTCCTTCTCCTGCTATCCCCATTCATTCTCCTGCTATTCCCTATTCATTCTCCTGCTATCCTATTGTTTCTCTGGCTACCCCATTCTTTCTCCTGCTAGCCCCATTCTTTCTCCTGATAACTCCCGTTCTTTCTCCTGCTATCCCCATTCTTTTTCCTGATAATTCCGTTCTTTCTCCTGCTATCCCCATTCTTTCTCTAGCTATCTCCATTCTTTCTCCTGCTAACCCCCATTCTTTCTTCGGCTACCCCATTCTTTCTCCGGGTATCCCATTCTTATTCTGGCTATCACATTCTTTCTCTGCTGTCCCCATCTTTCTCCGGCTATCCCATTCTTTCTCCAAATACCCTATTCTTTCTGGCTATCCCATTCTTTGTCTGGCTATCCCATTCTTTTTCCGCTATCCGCATCTTTCTCCAGTAAAAAAAAGCAATAGCATTCCAAAATATTGTAAACACTGATCAAAATGTTTACAGGGTTTTAGAGGATTGGCAGACACTTATCAACGTACAATTATATGACAAAAAGATTGTACAAAATATTCAGATAAACGACAGACCTTTTAAATTATATTTCACGGCCCCCTAGCATCAGAGGGTGCTAATACAGCACCATCGTAATACAGTACAGTACAGTACAATAGCACACACTCTTGGAATACACACAATTAATGTACTCGTAACACAGCTGTTAATCTAAGCAATCTTTCATCTTTCTAAATAAGTGATTTCTACAGATCAATTTTTGAGCGGGAATTTAATGACAAACATGACCATTCTCAATATTGCAATTCCCACTTTTATGAAGCAGGGATGGCAGGAGAATGGGGATAGCAGGAGAAAGAATGGGGTAGCCGGAATATGGGATACCATGGAATTATCCAAGATATTACAGGTAAGCAAACTGACACCCCATAGTGTCACACAACTTTTCATGCTCAACATCATTATATAAAGTTGTACTGTTCTGTTACATTCCAGAAAATCCATTCACATCAGTATCTTGGTCCCTTCACAAACTGAGTGACGCACTTCACATGAGTCATTAGACAAAATATCAATTACTCATTCCTACCTAACAAACTGCTACTTACAGTAGTATTCACACCACAAGATCTGCCGACATTTATCAGAATCCAAATAATTTTAGTACCCTACTATACCGTCACATAGGCTCAGTAGAAATATTTAAAAAAAAAGTGGGGGGAGGGCTTTCTTTTCCCAACCTGTAGGTTAAATCATAGAAAAAGCTTACCATTATCAGCATATTTGACAACTGCATCTTTTGATATTGAAGTATCAAAGTTAGCCATAAGTGGAGCAATGTACTGGGTAGCTGCCAGCCAGGTATGGACAAAGTCGCCCGTGAAGAGAAATCCCCCAGTAGCAATAGTAATGTTCTTCAGCATGTGTCCATAGAACGGGAACTCAAAGGTCAGCGTCACAGTCTGATGATGAAAAGATTCCCTCTTATTCATTTATTTGTTGACACGACTCCCTTCCAACCAGATAAATTTAGTGAAAAATCACAGCCAAATTTACAGGAAACATACTGAATTAAGACTCTTACAGAAGTTTAATGCTTCACACAATTTGCTTGTCCAGCCAACTGACTATTTTAATTAAGCATCCCCATCCTCCTTTACTTATCATAAACAGTTCTGTTCCTCTAAAACAGAACGTTATTATTACATGATGAAAATTTACATGAATTTCATACATTATTACTTTTGCATTTACAAGTAAGCATGGCTGCATATTGTACTGAGAATGATGCATACAACATTTTAACTAGGAATGCCACAATGAAGGTGATTATAAGCAATCATTTGTCAGTATTACCACATGAATTCAAAATAGTAACTTACAATCTCCCATTACAATTAAAATGGAAAATCTATTTAACCAACATACTGTATACCATTTCACCCTCTTATATTTCTGGGATATACCAGTTAATCATCTTTCCTTTTCGTAGTTAATTTTTTTCAAGTTTAAAAATACCTGTACTCTCGATATAGCAATTGATTTACCCTTAAATTATGATTATCATCATATGATGTACCTTAGTTCTCTCACAACTTGGTAGTCTACCGCATGTTGTCCTTTTGATGAATAATATCCTTCAACTTTTTAATTCCCTTTGGAATTAGTATGCTCCTTTTCTTAACTTCTCAATTTGTTTATGCTATACTGTATATACTGTACTTGGTAAGATAATGCCTGACTATCAACCTCTCTTCTCCAGTGCCCTCAGGTGGCATATGCTTCACTAAAGTGACAGCCCAGCATTATGAATTCTTCAACAACTGTTTCCTGTGTTACCTCACAAGCTGGATTTCTCCAGTAATAAATGAAGAAATCCACAAGGGCCGTGACGAGGATTCGAACATGCGTCCGGGAGCATCCCAGACACTGCCTTAATTGACTGTTCATTTGATGCATCATGTTAGTGTGATCTCGGTGTGTTCTCCAGTAATAGTTCAAAGAGAGAGGAATACTCACCACAGCTCTGCGGTGGGAAGCTGACAGCATCTCATTTGTTACGACACTTTCTCCCTTGAGGGAGTCTAGATCAACCCAGTATTGTTGCGCTTCTTGCATGCCTGAATAGGTGACAGAATTGTAGTATCTGAAATGTCAAGGTATATTCGTGTATATGCATATTGTTAATATAAAATATTAACTTATACAGTATTTATAGAAATATTCCAAAGTAAAAACAAATAACAGTAATAAATGTTAAGTCTAGGAAGATATTGTACTTTTAAGAAAATATCCAGAAGAAAATTAACACTAATCACCATTACCCATTTCCCACCTCATGAGGAGGGGAAGGCATCACCCCTAGAAAACAGATCACCAAAAGAAAAAAAAAAAAAAGAAATGAAAAATTCACATTTATTCTATATGACATCTTACACACCAGAGATCACAGCATAACGGGAAATCCACACAACCACAATCCAGCAATTCTTAACAGCAGCACCCCGCTACTCCATAAGACATGGTGTAATTCATGAGTAGTCACCTAAAATACACAAAGTCAAATTCTTGAGATGATTTCTTGAGATGATTTCGGGGCTTTAGTGTCCTCGACCAGGCCTCCACTCCCAGGAAGCAGCCCGTGACAGCTGACTAACACCCAGGTACCTATTTTACTGCTAGGTAACAGGGGCATAGGGTGAAAGAAACTCTGCCCATTGTTTCTTGCCGGCGCCCGGGATCGAACCCGGAACCACAGGATCACAAGTCCAGCTTGCTGTCCGCTCGGCTGACCAGCGCCGAAAATATTTACTCCCTCTCAAACAAATTTAACCTAGCACTGGGGCTCGACAGCTGAGTGGACAGCGCTTGGGATTTGTAGTCCTAAGGTTCTGGGTTCCATCCCCGGTGGAGGCGGAAACAAATGGGCAGTTTCTTTCACCCTGATGCGCTTGTTCACCTAGCAGTAAATAGGTACCTGGGAGTTAGACAGCTGCTATAGACTGGGGCTTCCTGGGAATGTGTAACAAAAACAGGTCTCGTCGAGGACCGGGCCATGGGGACGCTAAGCCCCGAAATCATCTCAAGATAACCTCTCAAGAATAATACTCTTCCTACCACTTCTTGTGCCCTGTTCACATTCAATTACCACTCCCACCCACTCTACAGTATTTATATACTGTAACACCACTTTCCAGGAACATAACTATCACATTAAACAAGTTTTCACTATAAATAGTGACTGCTTTATTACATAAAATCAAATTCAGAAGTTTTTCTTAGTACTGTATTTATTTTGATTATTTTACTCTTTAAAAACCCCTTAAGAAATGTATTGACTGCTCAAGAAGCTGACCTCTTCAATGTAGCAAGTTTCCAGACAGATCAAAGCATTAATGATACAGAACAAAAGTGTCATTATATATTTCCTGTATCAAATACAACAATTTTGGGATAGCGAGCACGAACCCCTTCTTATGGACAATAACTTACCTGTGGTGATCGACAGTGGTGTTTTGCGTGGAAAATTCGTCCGAAATGTTTGGAAATTTGTCATCCCAAGAGTCGGGGTCTTCGACACTGACTTGTACTGGAGTGACCGTGTCATTCTCGGTGGGACTATCACTTGATGTCCCATTGGCGGTAGTTGCTGCTGGGGCAACAGGCTCTCCCTTGTTCTCTTCCGTCACATTCTGTGTGACCTGTCAAGTACATTACAATCAATATATATCCATAAAATATATATTTACACACACACATATATATGTAAGTGTCCCAGTTATCCAAAACCATCACTCTACTTAAAATTCCAGAAGCAAGAATAGGTATAATATAAAGAACAAGAGCAGAGAGCCATTGCACTAAGTGACACAGGGTTAGAATGTTGGGACCATATGAACAAATCCACAGCGGCTGAGATGAGGGTTCGAACCTACGCACGGGATGTTCCCAGATGCCCCTTAGTCAACTGTACCCCGACATGGTCAAAAGAATTGCAACCTGGAGTGTTACTGCCCTCACTACAGCCCTTGTGGATTTGTTCATTCGATAAATCACGTTATTGTGATTTCTGTGTGTATTGAGACCATATGCTTACCTATATGCACACAAAGTGGAGAGCACATGCTCAATGCCACACACTAACCTGCTCACAGTACTGCTATCTTTGCTCACTTTCATATACTTCAAACATTATTGACTCTCTTCATAACCCTTCATTCTGCCTTCCTCCAATATTATTCCAATTCTTCCTTTTTTCCCCTTACCGTTTTCTTCTCCTGCACCTTGTTGCAACTGGAGATTGAGCCCCCCAAAGACTGCCATGAGGATTTAAATATATCCTGAAGTCCCAGGACTTTTCTATCCTCCAGACTGATTCCTTCACTCACATAATCCTCCTCCTCCACCTACTTTTTGAAAGTTATCACATATCACCTATGAACTCAATGTTTACAATTTACCACTGCTTTTCTCTTTCATATACACCAGTGAATCCTATAAACGTTTTAGAACATTTGCCTGCAATGCTAAGCTTTGCTCTCCTAGACCACATACATTCACCCTTGAAAAAAATTCTTCCCTAATACTGTACTTTTTATGTACCTTCAACTTCTTAATTTTAAACCATATTTCAGCCTAACAACAACTTTTTATAATCCACTAATATGATGGTAATTTTGCTTATCATTTAGAAGAGCATAAGCAAATTAAGTAATTGGGTAATAAACTCTCCTACCAATGACCGACTTCTCAAGTTCGCCCACTTAACCAATCAGTACAGTAGCTTCATCTTAATATAAATTTATGTTCAGACCTGACAAGGGCGATAGGAGCCACTTAAAAATTATACACAAGATGGTATAACATGGGCTAGCACTGATGTCAACCAGTGACACCAGTGCTAGCCACCGCCACCACTTCCCTTAGCAAAGCCTAAAGTTACCCGTGAACGAGCACCAATTATCACAGCCGCAACCTAATGTGTATACTCGTTCAGTTTGATATAAATTTTTGTGTTATATCGCTCGTTTTGGTATCAAATTGTGTGCAATATAAAGGCGCATATTTTAAAACTAATTCCATAATAATAGATCAATAACTGGAATTTTAACATTTTAACTTTGGACGCTCATCATAAAATTATTTATATCTTTCCAGTGTTCTGACAAATTTTCGTGTTACATCTTTCATTTTGGTATCACATTGTGCACGATCTAAAGGCGCGCATTTTAAAACCACTCCCAGATTGATTTAAATTTTTAATAAATATTTTAAAATTTGGTCACCAGTAGCATCACAGGCTAGGACACAAGAGAAAAATTGGGGACGCCAGGGGCGCCACGAGTGCGAAAGTGTTAACCAGGCCTAGCTAAGACATCTGAGAAAACATACCTCGTTACACTGAGGTGCAGCATGCATAAAAGCCAGTGCACCCCACCAGCTAAGACACTCCAACCAGGTTTGTTTACATAGTTTAAGGGAGGTCTATGTCCATTTTTGAGGCTGCAGGTCTCAGACGCAGCCAGCTATGGTTTGTTTTGACTCACTGACTTTTCTGGGTACCTAACTCGGTGGTGACAAATTAATAACTTAATATATAAATGTCAAGGCTGCCAGCACCGCTGTGAGAGGGCCAGGTTTTGCCTCTTGGTCCCCAGAAGACCATCGGAGATGGTACACTCAGGGGCCCCAAGGGGCTCCCCCCAAAAATGAAATCGGTTATACAGTAAAACACATTGAATGAAAATGTGGTTAGTAACATGTTCATGCAACACCATAAATCATGCAACACCATAAATCATGCAGCATCACATAATGTATAATTTCAGCAAACATGCAAGAAGTTGCATACATGAAGCTAAAAGTAAACTGTCGTGTACAACAATGTACTTGGAGCTTTAGAATACGATTCTGAATTATTTTAATACAGTACTGTACAGAATTTTGCTTTGCCGAGATGAAATTTAGTCTATATGGAACTGTACTGCCAAAAAAAATTCCTAATTACAAATAACTTATATACTCTTGCAATGCAACACTAACACTTTGAATAACAAATACTAAATACACTGAACTATTTAAATATTACAGTATTACTGTATCACTCAATACAAATGTCATGTCTAAGAAAATTATAATTTTCAAATTGTGTGCATTTTTGACAACCAAGGGCTACTTTGTCTATACTGTATATATATGAACACGTACTGAACAGGGTGAGAATAGCTTGAGCTACCTCATCCCTTTGTATGTAATTATACCTCAATAAACTTATTTCAATTCAATTTCAAGACTACTTAGCTATGCATAACAAGCATAAAAACAAGTATTACACACACAATAATAATTAATTGGACATACTGTATTAAGAAACTATAAGTATTACAGACAAAAGTAATTTAACTGGACACTTAGGACAGATAACTACCACTCACTACACGATACTTCTGCCAACACACAACATGCTTCTAAACCCAATACCGCCACCAGCATAACCTACAAAGTACAACACCCACCGTCAACCCTCCCGTTCTATTATCCTCCAGGTTAACTCTGCTCTCATTACTGGGCATGGGGCTACTGGTTACAGTAGTGGTAGTGGAGGTGATGGTGGTGGTAGCGGCGGTGGTAACCGTGGTGGTGGTGGTGGCGGCTGGAGCAGTTTTTGGGGTAGAGGTGCTCACAAAAACATTAGCACTGGGGGTCATTACTGGGGCTACAGTAGTAGAACTTTCAGAAGCTTTAGTCGATGATGCATCCTTCTTCAATACTGCCAGCTTTTTCTTATCACTTTTATCAGGAAAGTTGTCAACTTTTTTATTTTTAATGGGGTCAGCTGACTTCATATCCTGTAATTTTTTTGCACAGTATTAAACTAACAGAAGGAAATCTCAACACAGTGGTAGAGCATTTCTCTTTTCTAATATCACAGAAATAATCAAAGTAAGGAAATAATAAAAAATAAATCTCTCAACATGTCACACTTCAACGAGTAAACTGCTACAACTCCAAATTTTCAAAAGATTTTTTCACTTAAAATACTATATACAGACAGCAATGTGGTTTGCGAACGCCGTCTATCCGAAAATGCCAGTTTCCCGATTATGATTGGTTTGGATACTTAAGTTCGGGAAGCACAAGGTTTGTATAAAATGTTTCGGGTATCTCATCAGGCAAGTGTCTACCAGGCCTCGCTGCCCAGGATGGTGGTAGGTGGGAGATGGGCCTAGTTTGCCCACTGAACGTGTAGGGCCATCTGCCCTTATACCCTACTCTAGTGCCTTCTACCCTGTGACATCACAAATTCACAACCCATTGTTCCCATTGTTTTGATTTGCAAGGAGACTGGAGTGTTCATTCTGTGACTTTGTTGGATATATTATCACAATCTAAGAACATCTGTGCACCATGACATCTTCAAATGCACCCATTGTGTCAGTGAAAGCTTCAACAAGCGGGATACGTAAGAGAAAGAGAACAGTGATGATATCTGAGAAGAAAGTTGAAATAATTAAGGTGGAGAGCGGAGACCCAAGAAGTGTCGTGTGCACTGAATATGGCTTTTACTTTTACTTTTTTTATCTTAAGGCAAAACCTATCATTTTTTACCAGTTCTCTAGAAGTGAATGTGATAAGGCAATACAAAAAAGAAAGGTAGTAAGTAAAGCAAAAGTGGAGTGTGTTGATAATGTAGAATGGCAGTGGTACAAACACAAGCGTGAGGAGCAATATTTCAGCAACATTTAGAAGGCATTCTGGCGTTTATGGAAACGAGTAACAGTGGGCTTGAAACTAAGGACAAAATGAACCTGTACAATTTGTACAGTATATGAAGTTTTTTAAAACAACAGCAAAAGAAATGAAACAAATATCAATTCAAATCTTTAGCAAAAGATTCCAAGAAAGCTGGCATTGCCCCACCTGCACTTGACTCATGACATGTTGACCCAAATACTTGAACATCTGAGGTTACCTTATCACCATTAATCTCCACTTCCGTCAACCCAACACCATCAACATCCACCACCATCTCTTCCTTGTAAATAACAATGCTGCATCAACAATGATTATCAAGATAGCAAATGAATTAGGACTTTTCAGACCACACTAGCAGACCAGAGGGTAGTTTGTTTTGAACGAGTTGTTTGTTTACCAGGCACAGTCTGGAAGAAGTGTAGAATGTTTGCAAGAAACTGATATTTTTGAAGAGCAAAGCTAAAGTATTGCAATTTTTAGCTAAAAGTTAGTGATAATGGCACATGGAAGGACAACCCAAAATATATACTTTTTGTTACTGTATAAAGAATCTGTGATACAGGCAGGAATAGTATTAAAAAAAAAAAAAAAAAAATGCACATTTTGAAACTTGGGCAACACTTTTGAAGGCCAACCACAGCCACACTAGTGTTACGGAGGTCACCTAAACTATTGAGGTACAGATCTTGTGGAGACATTAGTACAATAGTTGACCAATTTTTGCACATAGCTTGTGCATCTATTTACTCAAGACTGGCATTGCTAAGAATATCTAACAATATGGACACAGCCATTTAGGTTAATGATGACTTTGGAGACTTAGAAGTGAGGTTAATTTAAACTACAATATAACATTGAGCATTGCCAGTAAGAGAATGCAATATGGCAAACAAGAGCAGTAATGTCCAGGCAAAAGTATAGTACATATCAGATATGACACCAAAACAGCTAATTTTTGACATGTCTGTGGAAAAGCTGGATCAAGTCAAGAGCATTATTGCTTGTCAACCCTAGAAAAGGTAAAGTCTGTTTCTTAATTTGGATGAAAAATGCTTAATTTACGTAGAAAGTAATTATGGATGAAGAGATATGAGGCTGACTAAGGAATAGGTGTTTGTATTAGCAGTTATTAAAATAATAATAATACAATGTAATGATTTCAGAGATTATTGCTAGGAGAGATTTTCCTAGTGAGAAAGAACATTAGAAAAATCCTTAGTGGTTCAAATTTTGACATGTTAGATTAAACAGTTAATATATGGGATCTACTAAAAGGTAAGCACAGTCTGGATAGGGTGTACGTACAGACATGCTACGAAATGGCTTTCTGAACTGAAAAACGAGCTACGAGGAGAGACTAAGAGGTGATAAATGTCAAATAATAAAAGAGAGGCAATATGATCACTACATACAACATAGAAACAGGAATTAACAAAGAGTTGTTGAAACCTGCAACTTCAAGAACAAGAGGTTATAGATGCAAGCTAAAGAAACAAAGGCACCAAAAAATATTAGAAAGTGCTCTTTTACAAAGTGGTAGACAGTTGGAGCAAGATAAGTAAGGAGGCAGTGGATGCCAAAACTGTCAGTAGTTTCATAGCACTATACAACAAAGTGTACTGGAAAGACAGGACGCAACAAGCAAATCTCCCATCCTGTAAACATACTTGGGTAATTACACTTGTTAAGAGTATCTGGCATATCATTTCTAGCCCCCTCCCCCCTCTATCATTATTTTTATATACAGTATTAGTACCAGTATTATATATATATTTTTTTTCATTTACCTGCTTCCTCTCCCTCTTACAAAGGAACTAAAAATGGTCAAGATCAGATAACTCAGTTGTTTATATTCCTTCACATTTCAAGGGATATATTGTCTGGTATTATTGCTCTATCAAAATCTATTACACAGTTTCTTTATTTCTCCTCTAGTTACATATGTGCATCTAAATTCTTTTATTGTGGCATCAAATGAGGTGTTTGATGCCACAAACCATGGCATCAAACCATCTTGACCATCCTTTCTTTCTCCTACATTCAGAATACACATCACCACTCATCACACACTTGTTCAACATAACCAAATCTTAGTACAGTACAATTTTTCGTTTTTATAATTTGTACTGCTCCTAATTCTAGATTTTTCATGCTCATGCCACGTTCGTCTCACATTTGCATGTACAGTAAATAAACACTTATTTCATGCAGTCCTTGTATTATAAGCTTTTATTAAGTCCATCATCTGAAGGCCATGCACACCATAGTCTCTCAAAATAATTTTGATGTTATATTTTACAATAAAAATCATCTGAGCAGACACTATACGTGTGCGGTGTCAGACCACGAAGGAAGGATTGAAACAGTAATTTAGTTAAGTACTTTCGTATTTAATACTGTAGTACATCTTCAGAAGGATCACAATTCACCTTTCTGAAGATGTATTATTAAATACGAAAGTACTTAAGGAAATTCCTGTTTCAATCCTTCCTTCGTGGTCTGACACCATCACATTTTTCATCATGTATTAATTTTCGTGATTTATACACACTATAGGTGTATATACTTAACACCAGAATGTCTGACATGCAATGTGTGATTTATATATAATAAATCACACATTGCATGTCAGACATTCTGGCAGCTGTCAGAATGGGATAAATTAGAGAGGATATACCTCTCTAATTTATTATACACTGGTTGTGTTATGTTATCCAGTAACCTGTAATTACCTAAGTAATTACCTAAGTGTAGTTACAGGATGAGAGCTACGCTCGTGGTGTCCCGTCTTCCCAGCACTCTTTGTCATATAACGCTTTGAAACTACTGACGGTCTTGGCCTCCACCACCTTCTCACTTAAACTTGTTCCAACCGTCTACCACTCTATTTGCGAAGGTGAATTTTCTTATATTTCTTCGGCATCTGTGTTTAGCTAGTTTAAATCTATGATCTCTTGTTCTTGAAGTTCCAGGTCTCAGGAAGTCTTCCCTGTCGATTTTATCAATTCCTGTTACTATTTTGTACGTAGTGATCATATCACCTCTTTTTCTTCTGTCTTCCAGTTTTGGCATATTTAATGCTTCTAACCTCTCCTCGTAGCTCTTGCCCTTCAGTTCTGGGAGCCACTTAGTAGCATGTCTTTGCACCTTTTCAAGTTTGTTGATGTGCTTCTTAAGATATGGGCACCACACAACAGCTGCATATTCTAGCTTTGGCCTAACAAAAGTCATGAACAATTTCTTTAGTATCTCGCCATCCATGTATTTAAATGCAATTCTGAAGTTAGAAAGCATTGCATAGGCTCCTTGCACAATATTCTTTATGTGGTCCTCAGGTGAAAGTTTTCTATCTAGAACCACTCCTAAATCTCTTTCTTTATCAGAATTCTTTAAAGATTTCTCACATAATATATAGGTTGTGTGGGGTCTATGTTCTCCTATTCCACATTCCATAACATGACATTTATTAACATTAAATTCCATTTGCCAAGTGGTGCTCCATATACTTATTTTGTCCAGGTCTTCTTGAAGGGCATGACAGTCATCTAAATTTCTTATCCTTCCTATTATCTTAGCATCATCAGCAAACATGTTCATATAATTCTGTATACCAACTGGTAGATCATTTATGTAGACAATAAACATCACTGGTGCAAGAACTGAACCCTGTGGTACTCCACTTGTGACATTTCTCCATTCCGATACATTGCCTCTGATTACTGCCCTCATTTTTCTATCAGTCAGAAAATTTATCATCCATGTTAGAAGCTTACCTGTCACCCCTCCAATATTTTCCAGTTTCCAGAACAACCTCTTATGTGGAACTCTGTCGAAAGCCTTTTTTAGGTCCAGATAGATGCAGTCAACCCAACCATCTCTTTCCTGTAATATCTCTGTGGCTCGATCATAGAAACTGAGTAAATTCGATACACAGGATCTTCCAGATCGAAAACATAAACATGATATGTTTTGACTATAATTAATCGTAATAGTTTACGGTTATAATTCAAAGTTCACCTGCATGATAACACCAGCATTTGTCTTATCTGGAAGAAGCTGCCTCTTATCTGTACTGTACAGAACGAGTTCGTCC